CATAGCTAGCCCCCTCCCCCTTCTAAGTCCTGATACATGTAATCATGACGTTCTTTAGTGCTATATCATTTTTTACTTTTCTTGATCCGCAGAGACGTTGCAGGAAGGCACACATGAAAAAAGAATAAAAAGTATCCAGGACGTTACAATTATTTGGACTAAGCCCCCTCTTTTTTAATACATGTAGAAAAAAAAATCACTTAACTACGACAGCAGAACCAGAAACCCACAAGTAGAGACAGAAGCTGTTATACTCCGGAACTAATTCTTTAATAAAGACAATTCAGGATAAATTGGAACCAGTTACTAACCCATGTTACAACAATAGTCCTATGACATAGGACTTCACTATATGAGGCGTGAACTTCATATTTAATACTATCTATAATATGAGCTCTCATGTCTTATGCTGCAAATCATTTTACATCTAGGATTCGTTTTGCTTTTTTCTTACTGTTCTCGTCTCCGAATCCCTTACATAGATTTTTTTTCAAGCCCCACAGTAGTTCAATAATTACTATATGTCTTTGCATAAATAAGTATGCAGGGCATATTTCAAAACATATTTTATCTTCAGGACTTTTAAATGATTTACTTTTCAATACTGCATTGGGCAGGGGGGTATACAAGTTTATTTTGTGACACATTATATAATATAATTAGGTATCCAACAAATTATATGATTGTACGTTTAGCTATTATCTAGACCCGTACAAAATGTATATAATTAGACACATTTACAGGGGCGGATCCAAAACCTCGGTGTCTAGAAGGGGGGGGGGGGGGGGGGGGGGGGGGGGGGGGGGGGGGGGGGAGTGGGGGAGTAGGTTCAAATTTAGATATTTGTATAGAGATGTATATATGCGAGTATTGGCAGTAATGGTTATGGTGTGTGTGTGAGGGGGTTTAAGATCAAAGATCGTTTCTATAATTCTATATCTTTTAGTTTTTACCATTTCACTCTATTCTTTATCCTTTGATCTCTATTATATTTGTCCTAAACATGCGTGACATATTTGCCACTGGACATAAGGCAACCAAAAGTCAATCAACGTATTCTGTATAGTTCATCATTTCTTTATTATGTTATCTATAGGTTTGGTCCCGCCCCTTATCTACTTTTTTTGCACATTAGGGACGACATCAAAAGTTCAATGTAGGATTAATACTTAATTCTTATAGTTTTTTTCACTGGTCCCCTACCCCCCCCCCCCCCCCCCCGCCCCCCCCCCCAAACTATTTGAATTAAGTTTTTTATCCTTCATTGATTTTCTGATGTCGTCCCTTATCCTCTCTATGTAAACCCAATTCATGTCCTGATAAATGGTGACTCATGCATAGCATCATATGTGGTTATTAAAACAAGAAACATATTCATATTATAATAATTAATGTATGCTAGGACTTACAGATAGATGTCATTAGTCCCAGGTCATGTAATAAAGAAGGTCTTATGAAAATACAATAGCATTTTAATATTGATGATTATATATATGTTTATATATTTAATAATGCCATTTTTTGGGAAAAAGGGTAGGGGCAAGGCGTTTTTAAAACATATCAATGGGGCGCGTTTTTTTTTTTTTGTTCTTCGGAAGTGAGCCAGAAGAAGTCCATTTCTGTGGGGTTTTTTTTGCATTGGGAAGATCTTCTGGCTCTCTTCCACCTCTTCTTTTTTGATAGGTTGACGGCAGAGGCACATAACAAACATGGCGTCGTTTAGTCTAAATGAAATTAATAAATTTATGAATGCAGATATATTAGAATGTGAGCTGTTTTATAAACGTTTTTATGGTATGACAGCCTTAGAAGGACATCCCTGTAGGACGATAAGCTGGATAAATATAAGAACTACACGGACAATAACAGTAAAGGGACGATTATTTGATATTCTAGGGAAGGGATTTTGATTGATTGGTGTTTAACGCTACTTTCAACACTATTGGGCTATTCCGTTGTGGTCAGTTTAAATTTATAGATGAAGGATGGGGAAGGGAAGAGAGGGCATTATTATTCATTTCAATCTGTCGCTAATCATGCCTATTTTTAAGCTCTTACCAGGCAACCATATTCATATATGAAATCCTTCTGTCCCCCACCCCAACAAATGAATAAATATCAAATGGTTTTCCTCTTATTTAACACAAGTTTAAATTGATTGATTGATTGTTGCTAATTTTAACGCCCAGTGAAAATTAGTTCATGCTTGTTCAGGAAAACACGAGTTTAGAAGTCACGTATATAATATAATAAGAGGCTCTCAAGAGCCTGAATCGCTCACCTGCATTTCAGAGGAGAAGATTTTTAAATGTTAGCAAACTTGATGAACAAATTGTGTAAAATTGTCTTTAAAGGGCAATAACTCCTAAAGGGGTCAATTGACAATTTTGGTCATATTAACTTTTTTGTAGATCTTACTTTGCTGAACATTATTGCTGCTTACAATTTATATATATCTATAATAATATTCAAAATAATAACAAAAAACTGCAAAGTTTTGTTAAAACTACCAATTCGGTGGCAGCAACCCAACAATGGGTTGTTCGATTCGTCTGACAATTTCAGGGCCGATAGATCTTGACCAATTAAACAATTTTACCCATGTCACATTTGCTCTAAAAGATTTAGTTTTTGAGATATAAGCCAAAAACTGCATTTGACCCTTATGTTCTATTTTTAGCCATGGCGGCCATGTTTGTCGATGGATACAAACTTCGGATACAATTTATTATAAACAAGATACCCTAAGGAACATTTAGTTAAAGTTTAAAGGTATTTGGTCCAGTAGTTTCAGAGGAGAAGATTTTTGAAATAGCTTACGACGACGGACGACGACGGACGCCAAGTGATGGAATAAGCTCACATGGGGCCCTTCGGGCCCCGGTGAGCTAAAAATGAAGAGATGGAATATGATTGCTAATAAGGCAACTATCCACCGGAGTTCAAATATGAAGTGGATGTAAGCAATTATAGATAAGATAAGAAAAATTTATTTTAAGTCGGGTTACACGAAATACTACAAACATAAACGGCTCTGTAGAGCTTTTTGCCGTCATGTAGACAAATGCTTTTTGTAGACAATCGTAAGGCCTTCAACAATGACAAAAACTTGATACTGTAAAGTCGTCTATAAAAGGCCCGACATGAAAAGTGTGAACAATTCAAACGAAAAAACTAACAGCCTAATTATACATAACAAAACAATTTACAAAATATCAAATATGAGTCGAGACAGGAACCAACGACAACCACTAAACTACAGGCTCCATCCCTGGGACATGCAAATAAAGAATATGGCAGGGTGGATATAAAAACGAAGATGTGGTATGATTGCAAATGAGACAACTCTCCATAAGAGCTCAAATGACACAGAAATCAACAGCTATAAGTCACCGTACGGCCTTCGACAATAAGCAAAGCCTACATCGCATAGTCAGCTTTTAAAGGCCCCGAAATCAAAAATGTAAACAATTCAATCGAGAAAACTAACGGCCGAATTAATGTACAAAAAAAAAGAACGAAACACAAATATGTATAACAAAGCAACAAACGGCAACCACTGAATTACAGGCTCCTGACTTGGGACAAATACATACAGACAGAATGTGGCGGGGTTAAACATGTTAGCGGGATCCCAATCCTCCCCCTAATCTGGGACAGCGGTGTAACAGTACAATAACATGTCTGTGAGCAAACCATCCCGAAGCTGGGACAGTGGTGTAACAGTACAATAAAATAACAACCTGCACAAATCAGCAAATTAACTCAAAAGATCGGTACGAGACACACAAAAAAACTAACATTAAGACAATAGACACAAAGCATCGACATAAGAGTATTTGCAATTACTGGAAGTTTGCTCAAACCTAATTACAACTGGTACTGAAATAAATCTTGTTCTCCCAGACTGAGTTATCAATCAGTACACAACGCGCGGCAAAGGATTTATTAAAAAAAGAAAACAGTCTGAGAAACGTCTGGTTTACGTTGTATATAGATATAAGAAGATGTGGTATGAGTGCCGATGGGACAACTCTCCATCCAAGTCATAATTTGTAAATGTAAACCATTAAAGGTCAACGTACGGTCTTCAACACGGAGCCTTGGCTCAAACCGAACAGCAAGCTATAAAGGGCCCCAAAAAAATAGTAGTGTAAAACCATTCAAACGGGGAAAACCAACGGTGTCTAATCTATTTAAAAAAAAACGATATACTTGCATATAAATCCATATACAATGAAACGGTTTTTGAAAAGTGGACCGAACGTTTTGATCATCGAAATTTTGCAACAGAAATACTAGTTATGACCACAAGATTTTAACAGCCAGTGCAGGACTCGCACGAACGTTAGATTTAGTTAGAGGGGCGATATTCTGACGTTTTTTTAATTCTTGGTCACCCATGTTTAGAAAGAAAGGGGAGAAATCCAAACAATTTCCGACCAATCACAAACGTTGTTGCAAATTTGACCTTATGACGTCAAAGGATTTCCCATAATGCAATTATTGCATATAAATAAAAAAACTACTATACCAATTGAATAAAAAATATTGCATTCAAATGATATTTTATACCAATTGAATGAAAACTATTGCATTTGAACGAAAATTATACCATTTGAATGAATAATAATACCATTTGAATAAAAAATATTGCATTTAAATGAAAAAATATACCATTCAAATAAAAAAATATTGCATTTAAATGAAGAAATATACCAATTAAATAAGAAATCTTGCATTTAAATGAAAAATATCAAATTTTGCAACCAATACCATGCCATAGGGCACTACCTTATCTACTCTCTGTTCGGATCTTTTTTTTTAAATCATGCATTTCGTTAAAATAGATTATCAAAATCTGTTAATGTTAGAATACTTTTAGTGAAACTGAATTCGAAATTGTATACTTTATTCAACATTGCAATATTTCTTTTTTCAAGCATACGGATAAGCTCTCTAAAAAATACAATAGGTAATTAACCTTTTTGTAGACTTACAACTTTCCCTTCTTCCATCTCCGAAAAAAATCTGGAATGGTTTTTAGAATTTAAAGTTAGATAAGTTCCCTTTATTTTGTTTTTGTATGAAACGGATCAGAGGTTACATAGAGAGATAGATGCCATATGGAGCAGGATCTGCTAACCTTCTAGGGCACATGAGATCACCCAAAGTTCTGTGTGTGAGTTCATGTTGCTCAGTCTTTAGTTTTCTATGTTGTGTTTTGTAGAAAAATGATTGTCTTTTGCTCGTTTTTCGTTTTTGCCATGGCATAGTCAGTTCGTTTTCGACTTATGAGCTTGACTATTCCTTTAATATATCCCGCATCTCTTGTATGTACATAACATGGCAGGTCTATTACTGACTTCTGAGTGTCATTTTGGTTTTTTAATTATGTTGTTGGGTTGCTGTCTCATGACGTTTACATAATATCAACCTATATTCATAAAAATATTAAACAAAGTGGATGGAGAGTTGTCTCATTGGCACTCATACCACATCTTCTTACATCTATTGACATACTCACTTTTAAAAATTCCAAACAATATGATGAAAATGATTATATTTTCCTGCTGCATTCTGTAAACAAGACGAAATAAATGTTCAACAACTAGATCCTCTCATCTTTACGTCCGAATATATATTATAACAATGTTTTAACCAAATATGATTACTCATTGACAATATCTGTAAAATAGGTGCTTCTATCTACTGATTATGAGATAAAAGTTTTGAATAATTGATCTATTGTTTGGTACATTTGTATAGACAACAAATTAGATACTATACAACTGGTTCTTTTTATACATTTGTTTATACACGGCAGTTCTTGACTAAGTGAAAATATTGGAATTTAAAGGCATACTCTTTATTTTACAACCAAATAAAGCTCCGTTGATATTTGAAGAAATATTTGTTAATTTGATTGCTCTGTGGATGATTGTTTTTCTGGAATAAATGTACAAAATCACAAGTCCTTAACAAATATTGAAATATAAGTTGTTTTTACCAATTAAACAAATCACTCTAAATGATTAAAGTTCATATACCGCATGTTTTGTTGCGGACTTCTTTTCCTTGACTGTATTTCATGATTAGACAGTAACTATTGGATTGTTGATTAAATTATAAAACATGTATAAACAGTTAGGAAACTGATTTGTATACAAAAGGCATGCTGTATTTTAATAATTAATCAAAACGCTTAATGTTTTTGTATTGCAAATGGTTGCTCAAATCCCAACGACATACGCGCGTCTGGTGTACAAACTTTAAAGAATGGTATCTTTTTTGATGACCTTTTTTATACGTATATTAATACGATTATATGTCAAATCAATGTCAAATACGATAATATACTGCTTTATGCTAGAGTTGGACTTTCAACCTTATACATCACAAGGTATTATTCTACAAGAAGGAAAATCAAGGAGAGGATTTTGTAAAAGTGAAAATTCACTTGTTTTCCAATCCTAATAAAACTCTCATATTGTAATGTTTATGTAAATATTTTGACAATAAAATATTGTTTACACTAAGGCAAGTCACCTTCCCAGGTACATGCTTAATCGACAATAGGTTCACTCGTACTCTCAGATAATCTGTAAATGATGTTAAACAAAAAAAAATCACCAAGTTTTAAAGTATCTCAATTCACCAAGAAGGAGTTTGAACTGAAGAACGTTTCTATTTGATGTTAGAATGCTACCAATACAAGTTTTTTTTCTCATTTAATCAAAGACAAATAATCATCAGAACAGTATTGAATTCAAATACTTACACATATACCAGACAAATAATGGAAAAAAGAGAGGCGAAAGATACTAAAGGGATTTCAAACCCATTAGTCGAACACAAACTGACAATGACATGGCAAAAAACTAAAAACGATTAATAGACAAACAACAGTTTTATAAACACAAAATAGAAATTTTTAAGACTGATCAACCCGAAATCCTCTAAAACTGGGGCTGATCTCGGGTGCTCCGGAAGGGGTGGTAGATTTTGCTCAACATGTGACACTATTATGTTATGAGTTAAACTGATTATGTACAGTATGAATGTGTAATATATATACAAGCAGTCAATTGTTCCACAAAACTTAAAAAGCACAATGTTATCTTTGTCCTCCGGTCTTCGATAAATATTTGTCACATGACATCTAATTTTTGAATAAAAAAAATTATCAGTTTTGATGTGACTGTCCGGAGTGATACTTACTTTTGTGAAAGGGATATGAGAAACTAACAACTGCTCTACCTTTCATAACAATTGGATGTAAACTCGAATTGCTCTTCATTTACAACCTTTATTGTATAACGCGACTTTCACGTAGTGCCGATTACGACTCCCGTTTGAGTTTCAGACAGTGCTACAACACGAAAAATGAAAGGTTGGATTACTATCCTCAATGTTCTGAAATCATTGTCTGAACGCAGTTTTTGCTAGTTGGATTTAAAAACTATGTCGTAATATATTCTGTTATATCGGATCAAAATCGTTGCATTGTCCTGTGTTGTGTGGACGGTGTTCAGTGGAACGGAAATGATCTGGAGAAATTTTTCATTACCGTTTCTTGCCGATGGAGTCCATATTGCGTCCAGATCAAGCCAACTGTGAGGGAAATCCTGTAAACGCAAGGTGTGTTATACGACAAGAAAAACCGTAACACATGCATTATCTGACACATATACCGTCAAACATATTATTGTGTGCAAAGACTTAAAGGATATTTTATTCCATATATATACCGACCACATTAAAGTGGGACATTTCTTTAATACGTTTAGGTATAACCACGCTCACTGGCTCAATTATAAGATGGACAAAAAAATCACTAATCTAGATATAAACACATGTTACTGTACTAATTTGCAACTGCATATCCGGAATCAAGAAACAAATGAACCGTTACGGTGTATGAAAGTAACGTGTGTAAGTACTTTATCATACTAACTTTATAAATATGAAAATAAGGAGATGTGGTATGGTTCCAATGAGACAACTATCCACCAAAGTTCAAATGAAGTTGATGTAAGCAATTATAGGTAACCGTACGGCCTTCAATATTGAGAAAACCTCATACCGTATGGTCGGCTATAAAAGGCCCGGACATGAAAAATATGAAACTATTCAATTGAGAAAACTAACGGCCTAATTTATAACAAAACTATTTACGAAAAACAAATATGACAGAAACGAACCAAAGACAACCACTTAACTACAGGCACATACAGAATGTGGCGGCGTTAAACATGTTTGTGAGCGCTCAACCCTCCCCTAACCTGGGACAGCGGTGTAACAATACAACATAATTACAAACTATAAAAAAAGGCTTAACTCATCAGATGGATGCAAATAACAAAAACACAGAGTGGACGTGGACGGGTACTTATACATCCCAAAATCAAAAAGACACTAAGTACAGATCTCAGAGTACTCACAGTTACTGACAGCTAGTTCAAAGCCAATAACAACTAATGAAAAAAAAATCATGTTTCTAAGACTAAAATATCAATCAGTGCACATCCAATGTATTTGGTGTAATGTTTGTATTTCTCTGGTTTCATGACAGTCTCCCGCTTAAAAGCAAATACATTTTTCAACAGTATTAATTAAATTATTCATCATGACTTTCTCTCTCTTTCGTCTGACAATACCATTTTCTTCATAATTTACGATTCATGATAAAATGTTAAAGCCAGTTCCTCATTAATTAATGATTCGTGATTATGCATACTTTTCCTGTATCTTATCATGAACTCGTGGCTGTATGCCTATTACACACTCAGTAAAAGTAATTTGTAAAAGTAATACATCTTTCGGTCATATATATAGCTATTCAACTGTTTCGGTTCTTATACATCCTCAGCTTTGAGCGTTCCTGATGAAGATAAATCCAGACATTATTTAACGTGTTGTTCTCATTCTTTTTAAACAAGAATTTTAATGTTTTATCAAGAGTATACACATATTAGATTTATATAGATTGCTTTACTCTATTTCACGAATTTATCTATAATAATTGGTTGCAGACTAAAATTAGGAAATGTATTGATTGTTATTTACATAGATACAAATATACAATTATATACATATTTGAATTGCTTGAACTTTAATTCCGTAAATATTGATGTACTTAGCTGAAATTAAAAAAATCTAGAATTTAAAATTGATACTACGAGTCAGAAGAGCATTAGTTAAAGAACGAAATAAGCTAAAATATTGATAGGTTATGGAACTCATTTTAGAGATATTTGATTTTAATAAAATTGCGGGAAAAGGCTGACTCGGATTTTTACCTTATACTTAGAATTTGCATTATTTCATTATTTGGATCTAAAGTCATAAGAAAAAAAAATCTAGAATCTGTTTAAATTTTGATAATGGACTGTTTATGAGCTATTGAAGTCTTCTATGAAAAGAAAAGTGGGTGATATGGGGCAAAATATTTTACCCTGTATTTTAAGAAAAGACACAAGGAGTCCGAACATCTGACAAAAAAATCAAAAACCTGACCTCAGTACATCCTTAACGTCCGTCTTAATATTCCCCGAAACATCGAAATTGATAAACCTAACTTAAACGGAAGCTTTATGGAATGTTCAAAGTTTTACTATTATTGTTTATTCAATAAAGAAAAACTTATTTTCAATTTTAAACTTTAAATAATTATTTTTCCATATAACTTGAGTTTTTAACTTTTTTTTTTATCGTTTATCACAGAATGATAAATTTTTGCAGTCCATATAGTGAAATGTTTAACAATAAGTACGACCATTTGAATGGAGTAAATGGCACCATATATGGACAGTTTACGATATAGGATGTTTCTGTGCATGTAAAAAATGCTTAAACTAAAACCACATTTATGGCTGTAGCTAGTCAATCTATCTGGATCATGTTCGGGGAGTCGGTTGCTAGTGGTAAATGTACTACTGTTATATATTTTTTTGTGGTTTCTGTGTATTTTTTGTATGTGGTATTGACAATATTTTGCAAAACTCGTCATAGATAC